AGTTGGAAGTGAAGGCAGGAGAACCCTTCCCCAAAACCAGTAAATGTTCAGATCTAAAGACAGGATAGATTTTCAAGTAGTTTGTGCTGGTTTCAGCTGAAGAGATCAGTAAGTTAAGCTCTTGCCATCAGCATTTATTCCTGGGGAGGGTGAACATCCAGTCCCTTGTCCTTTGCCTTCTGCAATCTGTGTGGCTTTCTAAGACCTTACTTTTTCTTCTAGGCACGGAAAAATGAACTGGCCATTGAAGACATGGATGGCGGCACTTTCACAATCAGCAACGGAGGGGTTTTTGGGTCGCTGTTTGGGACACCCATCATTAACCCACCCCAGTCTGCCATCTTAGGCATGCATGCCATCTTTGACAGGCCTGTGGCTGTGGGAGGCAAGGTAGGTGGAGCTGTGCAGGTTTCAGTGAACAGTGGGGAGGGCTCAGTGGGATGAGGACCGTAGTCCGTATGCTTTTTCTAGGGGGTTGGTGTCAACTTAAAAACCGCTTTGCTGTGAAGGAGGAACAGAGCCTGATGGATGTAGGGCAGCTTTGCTGACACCGGCATTTGCCTGAGGTGTGCAGGGGGCCTCGTCCTACCTGTGAGGGGGAGAACTGGATAATCTGCCTAGGTGTGAGGAAGAAGAGGCTGTAGCCTTCGTGGTAGCTCTAGAAAGGGACCTAGTCTTGTGTGGTGTGGAGCCAGCCTGAGTGCTGCTTCAGTGCCTGGGTGAGTGGGTGTGGGTGGGTAATCCTGCCAGGCAGGACACAACCAGGAGGGCCTGAGCCCTGGATTCAGGAGAGGCAAGCCAGGTCTTCCCTGAATTCACAGAAGGGCATTACGCAGGCAGCAGGGATGAGCTCACTGATTAACGCCTGTCTTATTCCTCCCCTCAGATCGAGGTGCGGCCCATGATGTACGTGGCACTGACGTACGATCACCGGCTGATTGACGGCAGAGAGGCCGTGACTTTCCTGCGCAAGATCAAGGCAGCGGTGGAGGATCCCCATGTGCTGCTGCTTGACCTGTAGAGCAGCCGCACCCCCACACAACCCACCCAGGGCAGGGCTGCAGCACCAGCAGGGACGATGCAGGGCATTCAGGAACTGGCAGGGGTCATTCCAGTCTCCCTCCCTCCGCTGTGATCAGAGCTGTCCCGGCAGGAATTGTGGGGATAATTCCTACCTCCTTTCCTGTTCTGTTTAACAAAGGCTCAGTTTCTCACAAGGATTGCTGTGTAGTGGGCCAACCACTGAATGGCACTGCCTTTCCAGAGGCGTCTGTATGGCATCCTCTCCCTCACAGCACCACACTCTCACCTCTAGCTTGTCCTATACCACTGGAAACTGCTGGCTGCTGCTGTGCTAGGGTACCCTTCCCTGCTGCTCCAAGCAGGGTTCAGCTTTATTTCCCAGCACTGAGGTTCCTGGGAGGGAGAGGAGAGGAAAGGCTACCGTTCTGTCCCTGTTTTGCTTGAGAATATTTTACACTCATCTGCCTTGCAAGGGCAGACCGGGGACCCCCATGCTGCTTGCAGCAGGGGTTTTGATCAGAGCAGGGCTTGAGGCGAGTGTCATGCCTCTGGCAGTGCCCTCGTTACACTCCCTCCACAGACAGGAACACAGCGGTGGCAGCTCCCCTGTGTTCCCTTGGAGATCATTTGTCTCTCTCCAGCCTGGTCACTGGTGGTGTGAACGTTGATGTTCAGGTGGGCAGAGCCTGTGACCTCTGTGGAGGTAGCACTGTTTCTGGGGGGACAACCCTTTCACCATTACATGCCCGACACGGGGGAAAGAACCAGCCCCCAGCAGCCATCCTTGAATCACAGCTCACTGACGGTGGATCCGACTGCTGGCTTCCTGCGTGCAAGGCCTTGGCCTGCTACCAGCAAAGAGACAGCGGGGGAGGGCCAGGTCTTTAAGTGTAATGTATATCCCAGCCCGAGGCTGCTGGTTTTGGGGGGAGGGGGGCAGTCCTAAATCCGATAGCGCACATATGTACTGGGGAGTGAGGGGGTTGCTAGTGCCTGCAGAGTCTATTACTCTTACCCTCTACACAGAACTTGTAACTAAAATATTTAACACAGCGGATTTTAAATGAAATAAAACTGGGCAACGACTGCGAGGTGGGGTGTGTTTGAGGGGGTGCGCAGCAGCTCCTGGGTGAGGACTTGGGCATCAGCAGTGTCCTTACTGTAGTACGAGAAGCATGTTACCTGATGGTGAGAGAAAAGAGGGAGTAGGAGCTGGGCCCGTCCCTGGTGTTACTAAGTTGAGGCTTCTCTGGCTGTGAATGCTACTGTCCTCAAACCCTCGTTGGTGCAGAATTGGCTCTTCCCAGCAAAGATGAGGTTTTCAGGGCTGGAAATCATCCTTTTTCTGGTTTAGCAACAGAACTGTTACAGAGGGCAAGGAAATCCCAGTATTTGCTGAATGGCATGATGGCCAAGAGGGAGAACTGGGACAGGCTTTTAAAGTACAGAGTGAGCTGGTTTGGGTTTTCCCTGATACAACGGGAGTGTTGTAAATCCTGCAAGTGGGAAAAAGGCTGTTAAGGGTTGCAGAGGGATTTCCCCAGGGAACTGTCCCTGTTGGAACAATACGAAATCATTCCTGCATCATGGCAGGGTTTTTCCAGCTCTGACATCAACTTCAGAGAATGGTTTGCTCTTCCTGACTACAAGTGGAGAAGGCGGCCCCGTTTAACAGAAAACGATGGCGCTCAGAGCTGGCGTGCTGGCCACAGGGAGAGCGGGGCCGAGTCCCGCTTCCTACGGCTTTCTGGCCGCTACGGACAAACCCGTGTGTGGACTCGGCTCTCCTCCAACTGTCCCTGGTTGAGGTAGAAGGTGAGGGAGAGAGAGAGGAAGAACCCCTTCCCTGTGGTGTATAAAGGAAGGGCAAAGAGTCTAGCTGCTCTTGCACAAATAAATTGAATGAAAGAGAAGGTTCTGATTAAAAAACGCTGCTAGCACCCAGTGCCCTGCACTGGCTGAGGACACAGAGGGCCCACCTTGACTTTGTATGTGAGCCCGGGGCAGGGCAATGCCTGTATTCTGTCTGGAGCTGCAATAAACGAGGCTTTTGAACTACCCAGGGAGTGAATGTAGAGTGAAGCTCTGAAAATGAGGCAGCCGAGCAAACTGCTTTATTTAATCTGCCCTGTTGGGATGTGCTGTAGGAGGGTTGTGCAGCTGCTGTGCTTGAAGCTTCCTTTTTTGATGTTCCTGGGTGATGCCCAGGGCACTTCGTTGCAAGAAGCCACAGTGTGGCTTCAGCCACAGGCCTAGGAGT